GATTAGTTGTGGGTGTCTGCTTCTGCTTCCACCAGCTGCTGGATGAAAGTTATAGGATATAGCATATAAGACAGTCATCAATCTCATTATGAGGGGAGGGTATTTAAGGTAGCCTCTCCTCTGTTGCTTCTTCCTCTATAATAAACTGCATTTAGGATTATGTTATATCAAGAAGTTGTACATTTTCATACCATGCTTAATCTTTTGTACCACATTTAATTTATAATTCTGTGTATGTGTGCCGTGTGCATCTGGAAGTCAGGACAAATTGTGGGATTCTGTTTGTGCTCTTCCACTCTGGGGGTCCCAGGGATCAACCTCCAGTGGTCAGGCTTGGTGGTAAGCACCTTTACCTGCTAACCACCTTCCCAATGCAATTTCTCATCGTATTTCAAACCTCAAATTAGTGAATTACAGAGAGGATCTGTGTCTTTAAATAGCAGGTTTCCCTTGTGCTGGCAGATGGGCCTGGTAGATGAAGGCACTTGAATCCGGAATCCATATGATGGAAAGAAAGAGTTGACTCCTGCAGATTGTCCTCTGACTTCCACACTTCCCCACAGCACTTGTGCACATACACACTCACTCAATTAATTAATTGACTTTTATTTAATTTCTGAAGTTGATTTTGTAAGATTAATGGTGTGGTAATGAAGTTTTCTGTCTGCCTCTTAGGTACTGCACATGACTGGAGGTTACGGTGTGGTGCTGTGGACTTGTACTTCACTCTTTGGCCTCAGTAGACTTTCTGTTTACCCTTGCCAGAACTCGGGCTTGTCCTCAATCTAAAAGAGAAAAAAGCCGTCTTGAATCCTACCATAATTCCAGAAGCCGGAGCAGGCAACCAGGAATCCTCGAGTAACCCAGGCTCTCATGCTCAGCTCGCTGGATTTCAGAACCCTGTGAGTGTCACGTTAGTACAGAATACAGAGCCTCACTATGTAGTCTGTAGTAACAATGTCCTCTTTGAACCAGTCAGCTCTCTAGCCTCAGGTCACTGCCTTTTTAATCCCCCAGCTTGTGTTTGCTTAGCATTTCACAATTCATAAAATGTCACTGTCATCACATGATTAAATGTAACAAATGTGCTCTAGTCACTTGTGTGATGACATACGACTCTTTTGTGCCATAGGATTTCTTCTCTGCATAGTACAGAATAAAATTGCATATAGATCCAGTTCTTAGAGCCTTTTAGGCGTCAGCCTGTCTTGTCTGTGTGTATCAGTGGCAAACCCTTGAACTTGAGACCCTGCCTTTAAGTTGTTTTTGCTGCACAGTTAGAGTTGTAGGGCAGTTCTAAACAGGATGAGCACCTGGCAAATGGTTTGGAAAAGAAAATAAATAAGGAATGAATAGATAACCTGATGATTTGGGAGGAGATGGCATATTACACTTTATAACTTTTAAAACTTGTGGTTTTGCCTGTAGAAAACCAAACTGCGTTGTAAACTGCCAGACTCTCTAAAAAGAGTGTGTGAATCATTTCACCTTAAAAGGATTTTTCCAGAAATAATGCTCATACTGATGACACAGTGTCTGCCATACTCCAGCCCTCCATTTTCAGCAGTCCACAGCCCAGACTGTTCTCCTAGCCGTTCCCTTCTGGTGTCTGGACGCTTGACCCTAAGTTATCTGGAATAGAGTCACATTGATTGTGAATGTAAAGTGGGTCCTACGGTCTGGGTTGGGGAAGCTAAGACAGATGCTCACATGGAAGAGGAAGTGCACTCTGAAGAGCTCTCTCCGGTGGGAACCAGTGTGCTGGTGACACTCGCCCACGTCCACACGCACACCTCAGGTGTCAGGAGAAAGTGACATCACGAGATGCAGCCTTCTAGGGCTGCACCCATGGCGAAGGCATTAGAGCATTGACTTGTCTTCCAGATGACCTGCGTTCAGTTCCCAGTACTGTCTTCTGGCCTCCTATTACTGCATACATGCGAATATTCCCCCTAAACACACAAACACATACACATAGTTATGATTAGAAATGATAAAAGTAAATCTTAAAAAAAACATTAAGATCCATATGGGGGGAAAAAGTCTCTAAAAGTTAACAAAACACTTCTGCCCCCGGAAGAAGGGAAGAAAGGGCTAAACATTTTACATTGATTCCTGTTAACTTTTGGTCACTGGGCATGATCTAATCTGTGAGGCTATTAGAGCTATTTAGTTTTGACTGTACTACAAGCTACTTGTTTGCAGAAATCTGATTTCGGTTCTAAGTGTTGTCACAGGATCACAATGTAGTAAGTGTACAGTATTGTGAGCAGGAGTGAAGAGAAGGCTGGACCATTGGAGGCCCCACTAGAGCCTGGTCAGATACTGGAGAAGAAGAGCAAGGCTAGCTGTGAGGTCAAACTCACCATCTGAGTAAGAGATGGAGGGTACCGTGTTAGCTATGTAGAACTGTCCATAGGTTTTGCTTAGCAGGAACACATCAGAAACACCGGGTCATAAAAGAAGCCGAGTCTCCTAAAACATTCCATCCAGTTATTTAACTCACTGCATATTTTTTTCACGTTCATATTCAAACAGGAACTATATGTGTGCATTCCATATAGCTCACTACGTCTTCCCACGTGGCAGGCATGGGTTTCAGTTACTCTTCACAATCATTTCCTTTTGTTTGCTTTGGTCACTGGTCCACCCAATTTTTGTTGTAGTGCCTTTTGAAGAAGAGACGATTTTTCCTTTTAAGATTATGGTAGGTCTGTTCTTTGGCCTTTCTTCCACTTGTCCTGGAAGATAATATCGGAACATAAAGTGATGCCATGGCTCTCTGTTCTTTTGCTGTGTGCTCTAGTTTTCAAGTTCTCAAGATGAGGAGGAGGTTGATATGGATACTGTTCATGACAGTCAGGCCTTCATTTCCCATCATCTGAACATGCTTGAAAGGCCATCTACTCCAGTAAGGATAAGGTACCACAGTCTCAGGGGAGGCAGAGACCCATGACGTATATCCTTCCAAAGGTCTAGGCAAGTGTAAAAGTGAGAAGGCAATATAAAACTTTTAGATTATATCAGTGTCATTTACATTGACAAAATAATAAATTGTAGAAAGTATATTTTGGAAGTCTGGCAGATGGCACACTGGGGAAAGGCACTTGCTGTGCAAGCCTGGTACCCTGAGTTCAATCCTTGGGACCCTGTGACGGTGGAAGAAGAGAACTGACTTCATGAAGTTCTCTGACTTCATCTGTGTATTGTTGCATGCATTTGTGCTGGCATGTGTGAACACATGTACACATACTTGCACACACAATAATAAAATTAACAAGGGCTGCTTCTTAGTTACATTTATGGTAGTTTTTCATTAAAGGCAGGCAATATGCCCGATCCATATAATTTGATATCATAGACTTGTGTGTATTTCTCAAATACCACATTTTTTGTTGTTTGTTCTATCTTTGTAATAACTACAAAATGATAAATGTAGGTCTGTTTCATTCTGTATGTAGGTGTATGTTCTGTGTGGGTACACACATGTATGGCGATCACAACTCTGGGTGTCATTCTTTAGTCACCACCTACCTTTCGTTGAGACACTGAATTTCCAGGGATCTGCCTGTCTTCATGTCCATCTAGCCATGGCTAGAATAAAAGAATGGGCCACTGTGCCCACCATTTTTTTCTTTTTAAACGAGGGTTTTTGGTGGTCTAAACTCAGGCCTTCATGCCTGTGGAGCTAGAGTTTTACTGATTGAGCCATCTCCTCAGCTTAGATTGATTTTTTTTAACATGTTTTTCTATTATGAGTTTGATTCCCTGTTGTTTTCTTTTTTAATTGTTTCCTTTTAAGTTATGACTATCCTATTTAGCAACTGCAGCTAAGCTGCAAGAGCCGAAGGCTGAGGGAATTCTGATCTCTCAGGTACCAACTCTTTCAAACCTACTAAGGAAACTTGTTTAAATCTCTGTCCCACTAAAGAACTCAAGATTCAAAGGTTGAGATAGAATCCTGCTTCTCAGAGGCTAAATAGCAAGCAGCTTACCTAGCTCACCTCTTAGTCTCACAAGAAGTTCTCATGCTTTTTCTCCCCCATCCATATAAACCCTTCTCTACCTGGCTTCTCCCTACAACTTCCTGTTAGTTGGTTGCTGACCCAGCCTCCTGGCCACAGGTGAATTTTATTTACTCAAACATATCTTTGCATCGTTAAACAAATGTTCCAGAGCACAAACAAAAGTAACACATGTTAAAATAAAATTTTATAACAATACTCCACCCAACCCCTGTGTGAATACTTTTGCTCTTTTTTCTGATTATTTGAAAACCGTAAGCCAGTTGGTAGTGGCACATGCCTTTAATCCCAGTACTTGTTGGGCAGAGGCTGGTGGATCTCTGAGTTCCAGGCTAGGCTGGTCTACAGAGCAAGTTCCAGGACAGCCAGCACTACACAGAGAAACCCCTGTATTGAGAAAAACAAACAATAAAAAAGAAAATACTAATCCCAGCCTGTACTTTTTAAATGGTCTTTATGTTCTCTTTATTAATATGTTAAATTGGCCCCCTGTATCTCTTAATGCATTTTGGTTGGAAGCATACATTGTCAGATGTCACAAGAGCTACAGCAGCTTATTTTTAGCCTGTTAGCTTGATAGGTTGACTTCTGCACTGTGATTGTCTGTCTATGAGTGTCTGATAGTGAGTTGTGTCTCTTGGAGACAGCTGTTGGCTCTTTGTAACTTTTCTAGTGCAGTCATCTAGTCTTCCTCTTCTTTAAACTTTGCGTGACACTTTCTCCCCTTTCCTTCCCCTCTGAAACTGGACTTTTCCTGCCTAGTTTTCCAGTGGCTCTGCCGTTAGCTAATGATACCTTTCTCAAGCAACCGTTAACAGTAATTACCACAGGAGAGATGGGGCTTACAGATACCTCTATTCATGATGGGAAATGTGCAGATGTCTGTAACAGCTGTGTGTTCATGGTTACAATGGCAGTGATTCATGACACTCTTGATCTTAAATTCTCTCTGTCCTCTTTTCTATGATGCTCCCTGGTCTCCAGAGAATGAAGGGACAGAGTTACTCTATTTAAGCTGAGCCTCCTTGTTGCATTTGTTCTTAGCACTTGGTTCAGATATGAATCTGCATTTGCCATTACCTCCAAAAAGAGCTTCTTTGCCCTGACTTAGTGTCTTAGACTAAACACAAATATTTAGCAGGCAGTTTAACATATTCAGCAGTGGTAGGTAGTGTGTTCCCCACCTGGGCCCATGTCCTCCCAGTAATAGGTTATGGCCAGGCTTATAGTATCAGGTGTGTATTATCGAAAAACAGTTGGTTATCCCACAAGTAGTCATACCACTATTGCACCGTTAGACATCATTTCCTGGCAGGTCAGCTTTTTAGCACAACACGTGGTCTACAGCTGGGTGAGACTAGGGATGCGTTTCCTCTCCAGCAGCCTACATTGCACCTTCCTACGCTGTGAACACTAGTAGGCAGAGAAGGAGTTTCCAGTTCAGTTCTGTCTTCATTCTTTGTATCCGGTATCCAAAGTATATGGTGTCTTCATTAAAAGGCTTTAACATCTGATTGTAGTGGGCAACCTAGAACAATGACAATAGCCTATATTCTTTTTTTGTGTGTTTATATAAGGACCCTCTGAAGCCAGACCAGAATGTCAGATTCCCTTGAGTTGGAGTTACAAAAGTTGCCAGCCACTTGACACAGGTGCTTGGAACTGAACTTGTGTCCTTCAGAAGCACAGCCAATGCCTTTAACTGCTGAGCCATCCTCTATTCCCACAGGCTTTACTCTTTTGAGGGGGTCTGCAGCTTCTGTGGCAAACAACTCATGGGGAGGTATATTACACCTGGCATTGGGGCTCTTGGTGAGGCCCATCCTTCTAGGAGAGCATTATCTGTCCACAAAACTCTTCTGTATATGGTATCCTTTAAGGATCTTTTGCAGTGGTTGTTTGAGCATCATGAGTTGTCTTAGTTTGGCACTTTCTGAAATGTCTGTTTTTCTTACCAATAAAAAAAAAAAAAAAACCTTTGTTGACTTTAGCAGTCTTGGTTAGCAGCTGTTTTCTTTCAGGCTTTAGTGTATCTTTCCATGTTTTTCTGGCTCTTAGGGTTGTTGGTGACAGATCAGTTGTTATTCTGATGTGTTTATCTTTGTGAATGTGTTGATGTATCTCCCATGTACATATATATATATAATCACAGGCTGGCCTTGAACTTACTGTGTAACCAATGATGAATTTCTTATATTCCGTCTTCTATCTCCTAAGTACTGGGATGGTAGATGTTGAGTACCCATGTTTGTTTTTTGTTGTTGTTCTTCAAGATAGGGCTTCTCTATGTAACAGCCTTGGCTGTACTGGACCTTGCTTTGTAGCCCAGGCTGACCTTGAATTCAGAGGTCTGCCTGCTTCTGCCTCCTGAGTGCTGGAATTAAAGGCATGCATTACCATGCCCAGCTTCCATGTCTGGTTTTATACTTAGGGGAAATTGAGTCAAGAGTTCCATACATACTGAGCAAACATGCTGCCAGCTGATCTACATCTCCAGTCTTTTGGTAGCTTTTAGTGTTTTTCTTTGCCTGTAGTTTTCAAATTTTCACTGTTACATATTATGGAAAGAGTCTTCTCTGCTCATGTCTAGTTGGGGTTCTGTATACCAGTTGTGTTTAGATGTCTGTTTCTGTACATTTGAGACATTTTCTGTTATAATTTCATTGAGTAGTTTCTGTCTTTAGTGTTTAATTTCAGTTCTCCTTTTAGCCTGTGGATAGATAGGTTTTATCTCATGATTGTATGTAGAGTTTAGACATTGTGGTTATGTTGTTTTGGGTTCCCCCCTTCCTTGTTTATTGGTACTTGAATTCATTATTTCTTTTCTTTTGGCTGTGTGTGTATGGAAGTCATAGGACAACTTGTAGAAGTCAGTCTTCTCCCTTCCACCACCTGGGTCTCAAGAATTACAGGCAGGTTGTTAGGCTCTGCAGGAGGCCTTTTTCCCCATCCCCTACTCATTCTGCTTAGTTGAGTCTGTTAGTGGCTTTATTTTAGTTTGTACTTTATTAGGTTTTTTTTTACTTTTAAAACTTTTTTCTCAAATCTTAATTTTCTTTCTGAATTTTTCTTCTACACTGCTGTAGAAAAACCACCCATTGTATCAGTATTACTCAATTCCTGTCTCCTTTACCAACTTTCTGTGTGCTGCTGAGTTTTGTCATTTACTTGTTCATGCCTTATTTGAGGCCACTCATATTTTTATTTACATACCAATCCCAGTTCCCCCTCCATCTCCTCCTCCTGCTCTCCCCACCTTCCCCCACTGCACCCCCATGCCTGGAGGCCACTCGTTTTTAGTCGTTAAAATTTTAAGTATTTCAGTGTCTTGAGTTCTGAAATTGAAAATTTAGGATCTTTTGGAAGAGTCATGTTGCCTTGCCTTTCATATTGCTTGGGTTTCTGTATTGCAATTTATGCTTCTATGTGTCTGAACACTTCTGGTTTTATATTGATCAGCCTAGTCTTGAGAGTTCAATCTCTGTTGCCACCCAGAATAGAAAACAGACTGCTCAACCAGCAACATAAAACTAAAAACACAGGAGCACAGGAAAAATCAGTTAAATCCCACTGGTATCACTTGGAAGAGAAAATGGGAAACTATTGTATAACTGTTACAACCTTTGTGCATTTCCAACCCCTACCCCATGCCCTGTGGAAAGAACCACCTTTTTTGGGGTTTTTTTGGTTTTTTTTTTTTTTTTTGGTTTTATTTTAAGACAGTTTCTCTGTGTGACTCACCTGGCTGTCCTGGAACTCACTTTGTAGACCAGGCTGGCCTTGAACTCAACACTGCCTCCCAAGTGCTGGGATTAAAGGCTTGAGCCACCACACCCATTATGACTTCCCTTTTCTCAGGCCACACCTAGGCATCTTTTAGTCTCCATCTTCTATAACAGCCCCAAGGTCCCTTGTAGAAAACATTTCTGGTTTTTTGATAATTTGGGGTCTAAAATTTGATCTCTGGATTCTATTATAATTTTATTTCATGTTCTATCACTAAACTAATTCTTTAAATGCATTTGTAATCCCTAAGTTATTTTGGTGTGTTCAGTACATTTGATAACTGAACTGTTTTTAGGGAATTTTGCAAACTATATGCAAATGCTAAATAAATAGTAAAATGGTTTCTGTAGCAAAATATAGGGTCTAATTTATGTGTTTGGCAAGTCTTTCAAGTTTATTGCCTCTCAAATGTGAATTTCCTGAGGTTGAAGCAGTTGGCAAAGGATTAAATTACTTCTGATCTTTAGTGGGCTTAATATTGTGTCCATTTATGATCAGGGTTTTACTAGGATTAAGCTTTCTGGTTTTAAAGCAAACATGTGAAACTTGTCAAACTTTTTTTCTCCTAAATATATCATATTTTCCCTTTCTTTTGATCTTTTAGGGCTTTCTAAATATCGCCCATCGAGCTCCAGGTCTTCCTTAATGCCCTAGCACTCATTAGGCTGTGACATCATACCAACTACAAAACCCCAGTGGACTATGGAACTGTCCCAAAAGGGAATAGGTACATTTGCTTATTTCTTTGTTTTGTATTGTTTTATCTCAAGCACATCATAAATTCAGTGTTAATTTATCAATTTAAAAAATACCGAAAAGGTAGAGAACTTAGTTTTCTTGTAATATTTTGGTTTTATATTTTGTAAGTCCAAAGACTATTTCCGGTTAGTGTCTATCTGATTCAAAATTTTGTTTTTCTGTTACAGAAAATTTGTAAGTAACAAGAAGAAAAATAGATGAGAAAAAAAACCCTTCCCCTTCATTATGCTATTGCATACCCATTATAATACCTATAACTATTTGCTCTTGCCTTACAGTCAGATGTTAACTTCAATACAAACCTTACAATTGGTACCTTTATACAATCCACAAATTACCCGCTTATTTCTCACCCAGTGCTCAGGATTGCTGTTTTATTCATGAAAACTTAGCGATAGACATATACAACTTGTATAGTGTTGCATACAGGGCTGGCAGTATGGCTCTGTAGTAAAGGTGGGTGCTGCCAAGCCAGACAACTGGAGTTTGATCCCCAGAACCCCCATGGAGAGAACTAAAGTTGTCCTGTGAGC